AACCATTATCTTCTGGACATATCCGCATAAGCCGTACCCTCATACTCTGTAACTCTCTACCTCAAGCGGCTCCCGGGCCTTGTATACTACTTTAAACAAAAAAAAGATATCTGCATTTTAACTTTTTGTGACTTCTTTAGTGAGAATACTACAAATAATAATGAAATATGTCTTTCGTAGTCTAAACAGCAAAGTACCGCCCTGCTTAGTAAAAGGACTTGTATTTTTTTTATCTTTCAGTCTGTGTTGCTTGATTAATTGTCATAGAATAATCTTTGGTCAATTTTCATAGAACATAAAAAAACAACGATAAAAAGCCACTAAGATATAAATCTACTTTAAAAATGAATCATATATATATATATATATATATTCTTGCAAATGTTAGAAAATATTTTGTCTACATTTTCTTCACCGAAGTTATTTTAATCTTAACAGTTTTTATTATTTAGTTAAACATCAAAAGGAGAAATCAACAGACCGGAAGTAAAAGGAGATGAAAGTGAAGAGAGCAAAAAAACGAGTCACCCAATCACGTTCTTCGCGTGATGCAGTTTGGAAAGAACGCAGTACTAATCATTAACTTTTGCTTGTCGAAAACGATAGGATTTAAAACAAAACAGTGGTATTTGATTGTAATGTGTTGTGTCATTGGAGCAGCCAGATTTTCAACCCTGATTTATCGATATTTTCTGAGCGGGCAAGCAAAGAAATAAACAAGAGAAGAAATCAGATCCAAATGTAGATAAATGATCGAAGTTTTCTATCGTGTAACGAAATAAAAGGCATCCGCCAGTAGCCAATAAAAATGTCGCAACACCATTATCGTTTGCCTGGATATAACATCCATATTTATTTGACTATTGCTTCTCAACTTTCCTTTCTTTATTCTTACAATTTCCTTCATTCACATTCCATTCCTTTTCTATCTCCCTTCCTTTCTGTCTCTCTGTCTCTCTTTATTTCTATCTATCTTTCTTTATTTATTTCTCTCTATTTTTCTCTCTTCTTTTATGTCTTATTCTTTATCTTTATCTTTTTTGCTTCTTTTTTTCTTCTTCTCCCCCTTGTTTTCTAGCTTCTTCTCTTTCTTTCTCCCCTTTTCTTCCTCTCTTAATTTATTACCTTTTCTTTTTTTCTCTCTATCTATTTCTTTTTCTCTGTTTCTTTCTTTTTCATTTATTCTCGTTATTTATTTTAAATTTTTTTCTCTCTTCCTTCGTTTCTTTCTTTCTCTATTTATATCTAATTATTTCTCTCTCTCTTTCTCTTCCATACTCTTTCTTTGATATTCTCTCTTTCTATATTTCCCCTCTTTCTTTCTTTCTTTCTTTCACTTTTTCTCTTTCGTTCTTTGTCCTTCTTACTTTCTTACCCTTTCCATCTACATATGTCTTTTTCCCTCTCTGTATCTAGTTCTTACTTTTTTTCTATTCTTCCCTTTTCCTTCTATTTTCCCTTCTGTCTCTCTTTCTTAACTGCCTGTTGTAACCTCCTCTCTTTGTCCTTTTGCCAGTTTCCTTCTTTTGAAAAAATTTCAATTTCTCTCTATGTATTAATCTCATGTTTCTCTTTCTCATTTCCTACCTTTTATTCCCTCTCACTTTCTATCGCTTCGTCTTCATTCTTTCTCTCTCTCTCTCTCTCCCTCTCTCTCTCTCTCCCCCCCTTTCCATTCATCATCCCCCTTTTCTTTATTTTTCTTTGTCTTTCTTTCTTTATTTGCCCCTCGACTTGTCTTTATTTTTTACTTTATTTCTCTTATTTTTTCAACATTTGTTATTTTCATTTCCTTCATTCTTCTTCTTCTTCTTCTTCTTCTTCTTCTTCTTCTCTTCTTCTTCTTCTTCTCTCCCTTGTCTCTTCTTTGTCTTTTCTTCTCTTCTTCCTCTTTTCTCCTTCTTCTTCTTTTACTTCTTCTTCTTTTACTTCTTCTCTTCTTCTTCCTCTTCTTCTTCTACCTCTTCTTCTTCTTTTCTCCCTTTTCTCTTCTTTGTCTTTTCTTCTCTTCTTCCTCTTTTCTTCTTCTTTTTTACTTCTTCTCTTCTTCTTCATCTCTTCGTCTTCTCTTCTTCTTCTCCCTTTTCTTCTTCTTCTTCTTCTTCTTCTTCTTCTTCTTTTCTTCTTCTTCTTCTTCTTCTTCTATTCTTTGTTATTTTTTCCTCTCTTCTTTCTCTTTTCTTTTCTCTTCTTCTTTTCTACTTTCTTTTTTCTTCTTCTTTTCTCCTTTTTCTCTTCTTTCTCTTCTTCTTTTCCTCTTCTTCTTCCTCTCTTCTTCTTCACTTCTTTTTCTCTCTTTTCTCTTCTTCTCTTCTTTGTCTTTTTCTTTGTTTTCTTCTTCTTTTTCTCTTCTTTCTCTTCTTTTCTTCCTCGTTTCTTCTCTTCTTCTTCTCTACTTCTTTTCTTTTTCTCTTCTTCTCTTTTTCTTTTTCTTCTTTTCTTATTCTTCTCTTCTTTTTCTCTTTACAAATGGAAAAGAAAAAAAACTTTGATAGGCGTTGTAAGCGTCAGGGTTTTGTAAAAGTAACATTTTATTGTTACTACTAAAAATTTATTCGATTTTTTTCCTCTTATAAAATTCCTCACATCCAGACTACCTATTTTGCCACGGGCCAGGTCACTGCATAAATGGCTGACCGTTTGCGTATAAGATTGGATGTGCGGGTGGTGTAATGGAATTGTTAATTAGAGAGACGAATTCACTTATGAGCAAATACCCTTAGTAAAGGTAGGAATCTATCTCTTCTCTCCACATCTATAGGTTAATTAGTAATACTTGTGTCACTAAACCATTATTATCTCAACAACTATTATTACAATCTAAAAACATTTTCTGGCCTTAAATAACTTACAAAGTGTTGATAGGCCGTCGAAAACTAACCAATCAATCAATGAAATGCAGATTAGCTACACAGGCATTTTTTTTTTTTTTACATTTATTTACATTATCTGGATTATAAATTTATAGAAATTACCTTAGTCACAATGTAAGGGATCAGTTTATATATTGATTGTAATATAGAATTGTTCCCCTACTTTAAATCCACATTATAATTTCTTGTTTTTTATCAAATTCTGAATGAATCCTTGTTTTAACACAAGCCAATTTTGTCGAAACAAATTTAAAGTGATCCCAAAAGATAATAAAGCGTCCAATAAAAATTTAAATGTCTTGCAGGCAGTTATATACAAAATGTTTCCTGCTACTTTCTAAATATATCGAACGATAATATCCATAATTGATCAGAAATTCGTCTTCACCTGATATCTCTCTCTATTTGCATAGCGCAGTCCCGCGTCCGTATAAATCGTTTATCGTCTGTTTCGTTCACCTCTTGTACTCAGCACCGATGCATTTTATCGCTATCCATTGGCGCCATACTTCCTGCAGCTGCTTTAGTGGAACGCTACGCCTCTAGAGATTTCCGCCTGTCAATTCAGTCTTGGATAAACTAGCAGACTTTAGATTGAGACCGCTTCATTTTAAAATAACACAGCTTACAGGGGTATCAATTCCTTGCTATATTCAGTGATGACAAGCACAAGTTTAGTTATAAGATTCCAGAATGGTACCACGTTAGGTTGAAGGACGCATTGGTAAAGCAATTAAGAAACACCAAAGGTAAATGAAGACAACTATTAATGCAGCCAGTGGAAGTACGGAGAGAATTTATTAACCAAGTTCAAATTATCCAAGACACAAAAGATTATATATATGACTGACGAGAATTATCAAACAAAGCCATCAAAACTTTCATCCCCTTTAATGATTATATGTATAACGGATAGCATTTATGAACTATGCATCAAAATTTTCATTTCCTGTAGTGATTACATATATAACGGATAGTATTTATTAAACAAATACTTCAACACTTTCATTCCCTCTAATGATTACATACATAATGGATAGGATTTATTAAACAAATACATCAACACTTTCATTCCCTCTAATGATTACATACATAACGGATAGGATTTATTAAACAAATACGTCAACACTTTCATTCCCTCTAATGATTACATATATAACGAATAGGATTTATTAAACAAATACGCCAACACTTTCATTCCCTCTAATGATTACATATATAACGGATAGGATTTATTAAACAAATACGCCAACACTTTCATTCTCTCTAATGATTACATATATAACGGATAGGATTTATTAAACAAATATGTCAACACTTTCATTCTCTCAAATGATTACATATATAACGGATAGGATTTATTAAACAAATACGTCAACACTTTCATTCCCTCTAATGATTACATATATAACGGAAAGAATTTCTTAAACAAATAAGTCAAAATTTTCATTCCCTCTAATATTTGCCTGTATAACGACTAAGATTTATTAAAGAAATGCATCTGAACTTGTATTCCCTCTAATGATATTCATTACATTCACTTCCGTGCCAATGCATTTGGGAAAGATATGAATCCTCTTTTTATCCGTCATGCTATGGATAAATAGCAGGACAGACCAGGTTCTATAGCTTTGGATGGCAACTGGTCTACCGCAGAAAGAAATGGCAACCTACTGCTCTGAAAATATCTGCCTCGTCATTCATGTATCGAAAGCTACATGATTGCCTAAGTGTGTTTCACGCATGGCACATAACTGAATGATTTATGAAATAAAAATCTTAACGTTTATTTTGATCATTTACCTCGTTTCACTTAAGATCACATTAATTGAACACTTCGTCAGAAATCACCTCAGTAATAATGTCTGATAAAGCATGCAGACTATCGCTGTACATCTCATGTCTTTTTGGATAGAAATAAATTCTTCATATTTTAAGTTTTCATTGTTACCAACGATTTTGTAATTAGTATACGAAATCTTGAAAAAATTTGTTAAAGGCATTTGGTGTAGTCCTGATTCTAGCCATTGAAGAGATAGATCAAGTATCGACAATCATAAAGACTGAAAAATGAAATTGACAAAGATTATTGTTTAAGGTTGACGGACACGCATGTCTTCATTAATTTTTTTGTTTTTGTTTTTTTTTGGGGGGGTACGAATTAGTCAAACCCAAACTCAAACAAAAACATTGTTTTCAATCGTTATGAGTCTATCGATTGAATAGAATTTTATTCTAAACAATTGTCTTGTAAATGTAATTTTTAAAGCATTCTGAATGTAAAAATAAAGAAAAAAGTGTGAAAGACAATAAGAAACACTACCTGCCAAAAAAAGTGTAAGTATTGTTGAAATTGGTTGAAAAATATAGGAAATCCGATCCCATATATAAACGAACACACACACAAAAACAGCCTGGGTTTTATAAGTATAACTCGATATGAGTTGTCCCCCTTTCGTTCTGGTGACAGAATCGTGTTTTATCGTGTTTTCAAATTGATTTCGTACAAAAACAATTGTGTTTTTTCAATTTTTGGCGCTATCAGAACCACTGCAAGGTAATTTTACGTAGTCCTGTGAAGTTTTGTTAAAATCGGTTGAAAAATGTAGGAAATCCGATCCAATATAAAAACGTACAGACACACACACACGCACACACACACACAATCTGCGTTTTATAATAAGTAAGATTATCCAGATCTCATGCTTCAGGCTCCGATTAACTCTCAGAATTCGACGTTCGAAGGAGTTTGTCGGTAGATTAAAATTTTGTCACCCAGTAAGCTCTGAAGGAAAACATGATTCTGAGAAAAAAAATCTGGAGAAAAGTTACAGATCGAAAATGTGTAGAGTTCATTCTAAAGCGTCCCATCTCAGACTAGAACTAAGCTCAGGGTTAAGCTTATCTAGATAACATTGTTGTAGCCAGGAAGATTCAAGAGGAACACGGTAAAGAAAAATTCTAGAGATGGCGCCACAAAGAGCGAGACAGAACGCATCAGCAGGTGCGTTATTCTTCCTTTCTTTATGCATAAATCTCATTATCGGGCTCTTTAGTTCTATTCTTTATTTTGGGATTTTATCGTTTTTAATTTTACCAGATCTCTCCGTATGAAAAATGAAGTTCACCTAACCTCGACCCTATGACAAATGCCACCCACTGCAACTATTAGTTTCTGAAGGACACAAAATAATCTCTTGTTCTTATTCTGCTTTCCATGCTTAGAGAATATTTTATATGACTTAATATTTAACCGTCTTGTTCACCTTTTGTTTCACAAAAGAGTATGCAACATTCCATCACCGCCAGACCCAGGGATTGAACTCTCAACTTCAGGAAACCAATTATATTTTAACCCACGCTAGTCTATATGTAATTTGTTCCTTAAGCAGAAAGCAGAATTAGAAAAAGAATAGAAAAAAAGAAAAAAGAAAGCAGAATTAGAAAAAAAATCTAACCCCGTCGATTGAATAAAGGATTCAGTTCTCAATTTCAAGGTTACCGAGTAGGAAGACAGAAATCGGAAGAAGCCCGAAGAGTACAACTGCCAAAATATTATATATATAACAAACAAAACTTGCAGGTTGTATAGCGCGCACGCCTCGGATGATACTGGGTCGAACCGGGTCAGCAGTGACAAGATATGACACTTGCCACACACCGCCTATACCAGAGAATGACTTGGTCCTCAGTGTCGTACGACGAGTGGATTGAAGCGCCAATCCCACGCTGGTCGATACTGTCGCTGGTCGCCTCACTTTGCTCCGCCCACGTTGTGTTTCTTGATCACAGGGCAGTGGAGATCAAGTTATCATCAGTAATCGCAGCGCTGGTTCGAACCACGGCTAAAAGCTATGTATTTGAGAATCCAAAATTAAGAGCCATTAAAATAAGGACAATTTTCTTTGGTAACAATAAACACTAGATTTATGAAGGAAAAAAAGAAATTGTTCTCGCAGAAGAAATAAAAACGAAAGATTTTTCTGGTCTGTTTTCGATTTGGTTTATGTAGTTCTTTGTATAAAAACATTAACCTTTCCCACTAAAATCTCTAGAGTGACACTTTGCTTATTGGTGCTAATTTTTAAAACAGAGACCAATTTCAGAGATTCCCTTGGTAGCAATTCACGTGAATTTCAGAAGCATCTTCGTCTTCTCTTCGCCGCTTGTCTCTCGCCTCTCGCTGGGTCGCCTAAGCGCTTTGCTTATATTGACCGACCCAAGAATGGGGTGGGCCTGACGGTATTTGGGAATCTGGTGATTACCCATGTTTCTGCATTGATTTGAACTAGAGTTCTTTGTTGTCTGGTTCGTGATATTTATTATCTTTCCAAATTTGGGAGAATTATACACGCTACTGATGATGGTTGCCAGTATCGCCCTGCCCTTATAGCTCATTTCTTCTCTTATTTATGCTTTGCATCATTACTTCTAAATGTGCTGGAGTAATTTCACCTTCCTCCTGCTTTCTTAGTATTTCATCTAAGCCCGCCGCTTCGGCTGTCTCTCTGACAAATCTGATTTTTAAACCGAGTAGGCGAAAGGGGGGGGTCTTAATTTTAATCGTTAATTGTAATTATCTTAATTTTTAACAATGAATTTTCTCAGTTCCCAGTCTTCTTTATTT